AGCGTGCTTTTTATAAAAGATAAGCGTAAGATAATACATTTAAAGGCTAAAAATAACGCTTTTTAACTTATTAGATTATTAAGATAGCTAATAAAAAACACTATAACTTAATTAAAAAAGCGTTTTTTAAAGCTATAAAAAAAGCACGTTAATAGCATTAAACTTTTATATTAAAATGCCTAAAAATTTATGATAAAAAGGGTGTACATTTTAAGCAAAGAGGTTAATTAAGTTATTAGGTTAAAAATTAGGCCGCGTTAGTAATCGGGCCGCGTTGGTGATAAGCACCACCTTTAGGTGGTGAGTGAAACGAGGCCCCTAAAATAGTGGGGCGTGGCACGAGTAGTAGGACCCGACCAGACAGATCAAGTGGGCACCGGGCTGCGCGGGCGGGCGGCGGGGGTGCAACTGGTCCTTCCACATCCACATTCAATTGACCATGTCCAGTTCCGTTGTTGATTGTTGTCTCAACACATTGAATGGTCTCATGTGCTGATCTGTTTCCCTGACGGGTGTTTTACAGCCCCGTCAACTTATCAAGATCCCTGTACCGACCTTGGGGTTCCGTGGCTGCTTCGACTTGACCAAGCTGCCAACCTACTACCTACGTACTCGAGCAATGGTATCATTGTACGCAGCCATCATTCTGTCACAGCGGCTACGACAGCGACCTCCAAGTCCCCAGGCAACAATAACATCACAGGCTCTTTCTCCCCAGCTTCCTTATCACCCCGGCAGAGCCATCCCGTGCCCTCAACGGCCTAACGGCTTCCGTGCGTCCAATGCACCATTTGAAACAGGCCAAACCCCGTCTCGGAAACGCGATAGTGCTTCCACGCTCAATTGATCCCTCGCCTCTTACTGTGTGGTTCAATACAATATACACAACTACACGCCTTCGTCGTCCTTCACAAGCTTTTGCCCCCTCCAGTCCGTTGGTCCGTTTCCAGTCAGACATACCTTGCATAGCCGCAGCTTGACTTGCCCTGCTACCCAACGACAGTTGTACGCTTTGAGTCTCATGCCAAAAAATCCCCACCTGGCTCAAGTGTCAGATATCGCATTGATAGTTTAGGTTGAGTTGTGACGGGGCCAGAAATGTGGTAAAGTGTCGGACGCAGTCTCCGGTAAGGGATAGTTAATAGCTGTTGGCATCAACACCAAGTAGTACCGGCTAGCTCAGTATTACGAGATACCCGGTTTCCCTCTGAGAACCAAAGGCTAAAGGCTAAGAGCTCCTTGATTCCTTACTGTACATTTGCAATGTATCTGGCAGATCCAAACCTAGATTCTGTAGCAAGCCAATGAATGCACGAGACCTTTACCGCGCCTCCACGTCACGACTTTTTGCTTCAGAATCATTGCAGCGGCCTCTGCCGTGACGACATGTGGGAGGTGAGCTTTCGGCAGTTCTCCACGTGAGCGGTTCGTATTACAACTGAAAATTTAGGTGGAAGCGCGTGTTGCAACTGTATGTATTGTCCCGTTATGTGGGATGAAAAGTATAAGTTACACCGGTACATATTATGGGCGGTACGAGCCCTAATGTACACCCCACCTACTAATTTAGCTGAAGTGACTGTAATTGGTTGTGGAAATTAAACACCTTGTAACGGTGGCTTAGGTTCTAAGGCATAGTAGGTCTGTTTCTTAGAAAGTAAGTTAGGTTAAATGCTATAAAGTAGCTTTTAAGTAGTATAAAGTTACGCCTCTTTTTTACTATTAAATAAGTAATTTTAAGACTTAATCTTTATAGCTTCTTTTTCTTTTCTTAAAGCTTTTATAGCTTCTTTAGTTAAGTAATTTAATTTTAAAGAGTTATAGAAGCTTTATTTAATTATTTAAGTATTTTCCCTTTACTTAAAGCTATTATATTCTCTTAATTACTTAGTAATTCTATTAGGTTCTCTATTATTAAAGGTAAAGGCACCTACGAAATAAGGGTTCTTTAAGTACTTATTTTTATTATTTTAATTAAGTGACTTTTTTTAAGAAGCTTTAAAAATTATAAAATTATAAGAGGGACTAGAAGTTAAGTAGCTAAGTAAAGGTAGCTATATTATAATAATTAAAGCTTATTCTATTTTCTAGTTATACGAGATATAGGGGATATAGTCTTAAAGCCCCCGTTTCACGTGACGTTATTAATCGCGTTACAGGTAGGCAGGGTTCCCTAACCGCCTTACAATTTCCTTATAATTTAGTAATTTAAGGAAGGTTTTATTTTAAGCCTTTAAAGACAGGTATTTAGGCTAATAATTAGTGTGTTAAAGCTATTACTTAAAGGTTAAGGTCTTCTCGCGCCTATTAATAGTGTGTTTTTTATTAAGCTACTATTTATTTTTAACCTTTTTTATCTCTTACCTTAATATTAACTAGGTAAGCTGTAATTAACGCTAGCTTTCCTTTTTTATTTCTATTATAATAATCTAGCTTATTATTTTCGGATATCTTTAAGGCTAACGCTTATAATAAATTAACCTAAAGGTTTAACCTATTTTTTACAATAATAATAATTTATAAGGCGTTTAATACGTTTATTTCTATTATAAATAAAGCTTTTCACTTATAATTCTAGTATATAAGCTTTAATTATAACCTAGCTAGCTTATTAAAGCCCCTTATAAGTTAGGGATAATAAAACATTAATATAATAGTTTTAAATTAATCGTATAGTATTAATAGCTATTTAAAATTATTGTTCGTTTAGTAATAGGCTTAATAGGGTAGAATTTATTAAGTCTTAAAGTTTCTATAAGTTGAAGGATTT